CCCCCTCTGCTGTCACCCCCTCTCACCTCTCCTTCCTGTCCCGCTCGTCCTCTTCATGCATTTCTTCCTTTTGTTTCTGCACCGTCATGCACCCTTCTTCGCCTGTTTTCTCTCGTTTCGCGCGGTCATCTGTTCGTCCTGTTTTCGCCGCACTACCTTTGACATCTGGCCGTCCGTATTTTGACCTCATATTTATTTTTGACTTCTTTCTGCATCTTTCTACCTCTTCTCGACTATCCTACCCACCATATGCCGCTCTTTTCACTAATATTTCTCACATTATTCTCTCTTATCTTCTTGTGTCACAACATTTTCATCATTCCTCATTTTCGTCCATCTTCTCTCCCTGTATCACGTTGTCTCTCTCTCTCTCTCTCTCTCTCTCTCTCTCTCTCTTTCTTTCTCTCCGTCTTCTGTCTTTTTTTCCTTGTTGCGTCCTGATGCAGAATGGAATGTTCTATACTAGTTATGTAAGTACTTATGCCTGTTTTAGTAAGTCTTAATCACTTCTATATGACTCATATAATGTGCTTTCAATCTCCCTCTTGCTGTCTCCCTCTGTCTCCTTCTCAATCTTTCTCTTTCTGTTTTCTATGGAGACAAGTTTCTTTATAAAAGTCACATTTGTTCTTGCCAAGTTTCCTCAAATCGCCCTCTCACCTCTGTGCTAAAGGCTAATGGTGCTAGTTATGTAAGCATTGAGTAAACTGTCTGATACCAGGAAGTCAGACACACTATCACTTTTTTTTTCTTTGAAAGGATAAGCCTGGTATATACTCTCTTGTTCTTATTGTCAACAAATACCATTTTAAATGAGAAAAACATCAACTGACTTTTACTACTAAAATATCGCCTGTGGATTTAAAACCTTTTTTTTTTTATTACACCATTTCACTGTGCTATAAACCTTCATATTTGTCCAAACACTATAAAAAGAAAAACATCAGTGACTGTTGCTGTTGCACACTACGATAAGCAAACACTAATTTATTTTCAGTCGACTAGAAACACAGCCCAAATACTCACCAGAGCAGCACTTTTTGAACATTAAATAATGGAAAAATGTCACAGTAGATGCACAAAATACAAATATGAATGTGAAAATTAGCATTACAGGGCTCCTTTAATGGAGCTGCTCGTTATTGTCCCTGAAAAAGCTAATATACAGTCAATAAATAAGACTTCAAAACCAGGAAACATGACTTCCATGAGCCCAGACATGATTTAAAAGTCATAGCCGCATCTGGCAGTGATATATAACGCGTCGCAGAGCAGCGGATAAATCAAGTATCATGCATGATAAGTGAAACTCCCACATCTGAGACTCCCCCCGGCAGAAGTCTCAACGTCTGTGCTCGCTTAAAAATACCAGACAGAAATCCTGCAACGCCCTCCTCACGTCTTCACCTTCAGTTAAACATGCAGGTCGTGTGAGGTCAGAGGAAGCTTAGCGAGAAGAGAGTTGCCTTTTTAAGAAGGAGACGGCAAAAGTTCAGCTCTGGAAGTCGGGATTTAAAGATGTTGAAAGGACAGATTTGAATTAAAACACTGGCAGCGAGACACAGGTCGAGAATGAGAAGACGGATGCAGACAAACGCATGAATGTAAAGCGTGACAGCAGAAGACAGATGGACACAAATACAGATGGAGAAGGTGTAGTGGTGCATAAACAGCTCTCTTCTTGTCATGCTTTCAAAATAAAGTGATGCCCTGTCATTTTTTACCTGAAAGACAGCCAAGTTAAACTCGGAGACAGATGGTTCGCTGAATAAATCATGCTTCAGGTGCACATGAAAGTACAGTCAGTTATTTCTTTCATCGTGGTTTCAAACAGCCGCCAAGTGAGAAATCTGACGGGTTTAATTCAAGTCTTTTGGCTTGAATTGGATTATTTTTCCTCCCTTCCTGCTGGTTGATCAATGGTTCTGATCAGCTTTCACAGCCTGCTCCCTATAGGCAGGAATGAAATGGCGGATCCCCGATCGATCACATCGATTTCCTCCTGAGATCAGATCCCTGTTCACCTGACCCCACCACAGGCCTTTAGATTTAGCTCTTTAAGCAAGATATCACTTCCTGTCCTCCCTTTTTAAAGCTTAGCTTGTACAACAGAGCGTTGTTGTTTTTTAAATCCCTTAAAAATAAAAGTTCTACTGTTAATTATGGCCTTGCACTCTTGAGTCCCAAACCAAGCCGATTTTCTGCCGTCGATAGATGTCAGGCCGTCGATGAGCGTCGTGTCGCCCTACTCAGATTGGTGTGTTTGGTGTGTCCCGCACCGTCGTGTCTTTTCGGCCGTGCCGATAATAAATAAATAAATAAATCCCTCTGATTGGCTGTTCAGCTTAGCGAATCAGTGCATGAGAAGCGAAACGGAAGTGAGCGACCCAAACAAACTATTAAGAAGGCAAATCTGAGATTTCATTTAACTCCAGCTCTCGACACAGGTTCGGGAAAGCCCCGTGAGCTTCTCGCTGTAGAGGAAAATGGAACGCACTATTTGTTGTTTCTTTATATCACGCAGTCTTTCCTTCTTCTCTCGGTTATCACGCAGTCTGTCTTCAGGTTGTTGCCTCTTTTGAATGACGAATACACACTACCGCCGCCTGCTGGTAAGGAGAGTTATTGCCACTCACGGATGCGCAGCTCGTACGTGCTTCTTGGCCGTCGGCTGAAGTCTTTGCGGTGTGTTCCAGTGCGACACATGGACCTTTAGGATGGCAACTCAAAATCTGTCCTAAATGAGGTTAAAAATATGCTGTAGATGAATCACAGCTTCATTTAAATAACACCTTAAGCCCCAGAATCTAAACAGACTGTAAAGTAATACAAATTACAGATGAAATTGTATGCATGGAATATATTGTGTTGCTTTAAATATAAATAGAAAAGACCTAAAGGGAGAGACATTAGGAAAAGTGCTGAGTTAAGCAAATTCTCAGTGTTAATAAAAGTCAATAACTCAGTCAAATGTGAACAAACAGACATGATATGTTACGAGATTCGGCTGACACCGTTTACAAGCTATGAAAGATGTAGCTCCTTACAGTATCAAAGTAAACCAGCGCCTGTTAACGTATTAAATAACAAATCACAAAATGCTAATGGCTCATTTGGCATGCTTTCAATGGTGCCTATATTTAAATAAGTAGAAGCAGACACTGACAACATCATCATTTGTATGATTTCAGTCAAAAGGAAGTTACATTTGTTTATTTTTCTTTTGGGATTGTATTATAAGGAAGGAAAATAAGTAGAAATGCTTGCAGACACTTCCCTGATCCGTTTTTTTTTAAGATCAACCAGCGTAACGCGCTATTTCTTAAACGCCTTGTTTAATGCGTCATTGCATAAGCAGCAATTAAAGGATAATACTAGTGCAGGTTAATTATCCCACGTAAAAAAGACCTTTTGTTGCTTTTGATTTATGTATTTCATCATATTAGGTAAGACTGTTGAAGTAATATATGGTTTCACACGGATAATTACTGCGTATTGTACATTTTTCTTCATTTCTGTGCACTGTTAGACTCTGAGCTGTACTTTCTAATACTCGGCAATGTTTGAGGAGTTATAAAGTCACGTCAAGAAAAATGCCTCCGTTGTCTCATTTACGGTGATGGATTGGGTTTGTGAAGACAGCGGCGTGTTTCTGCAAGCTGTTTTTTTAATGGCTTTCCTTAAAAACAGTGGGAGCCCGCCGCCTACTTCCGGGTGAGCGGGACGGCCTGCAGCGGAGAAAATACGTTTCAAACTCCGACTGCAGCAAATACTGAACACGTATATGTGGCAGGGGGAGGGGGTGGGGGGGAAATCACGCTGGTGTTATCCTGAAACATATATAAAATGCTTGCAGGTAAACCCAAATCCCACACAGATCCTTATTTGCTATATTTGAAAGAAGCTGTCAGGTGAAATGACAAATCTCTGTTAATATGAATACTCCTGTGATAGATTGTTATACCCTGCGATGCATCCTCGCCTCTATAAACTGATTTTCCTCCGGTGCACTCGCTGTAATGCACCTTCAAACACTCGCTCCATATGAATTGCCAATTTGCCGAGCAGAAATCGGCAGCTTTTGTTTGAGGGGGAATGTGCGTGGGTTGTAAACGACGGCTACAAATTGCCCGTCACGTTGAATTTGAGGCCCATTCAGCCGTAGTGGATTTGATTTGTGGAGTGAGGAGGGCAGGGCTAAACGCCGTCCTATTGAGCCACCCCTTTTTAAAGCAGTTGTAATGATTGCTCCCAGTGGGAATCCTCTAAGTACCTCTGCCTCACGCTGTGTTGTTGCGCTCCTAATGCCCGCACTTTATCAGCATTCAACGTGTTCTCCAGTCCTCGCACATACGATACATTGTGTGTTTTTACATTTAATAGAGCGCTTAAACTGTAATTGCTCTCCTGTCCATTAAAGTCCTTTATTCCATGGTAGCTGAATGCTAACAAAAGCCGTACAATATGTGACCCAGGTGTGGCTTTTGCTTTTTCTACCTGCTGACTTTTTTGTTGGTGCTTTTCCTACAGGCTCCAGCTCCCATGGCTTTCCCCATGAACACACCGCAAGTGCCTGTGTATGGAATGGTAAGTGCAAGGAGGGATACACGATATATACAGTTTAATGAACACACAGCCACTTTCATACATGCAGTAAATTGTTACAACGAATTGCCTTATTGGTGTACCGTATCGTACCATTGTTGCGTCTGTAAAATGTCGGAAAAAAGCTACAAAATACAGCTTTCAGAGTTTAAAATGACATCTTAGAATATCTTGTTTTGTCTAACCCAATATATCCAGCTTCCATATCTTTTAAACTTGAGAAAGAGAGACAACATCCTCACATTTTAGAAAAGCCAAAACAGCTATTGTTTCACTATTTTACTCGATAAACTATTCAATTAATTCAGTGAGTCTTCTTCAGTTTTCTTAAATGTATCAATTGTTTTATCTGTAGTTCAGATCATATTTCCATTTGCTGATTTATGGATTTCTTGCTTTCTCACTCTCTTCCCTATCTCTATCTCTTAGCTCAGGGGTGTCAAACTCAATTACATAGCGGGCCACATTAGCATTATGGTTGCACTCAAAGGGCCAGTTGTAACTTTAAGACTATATAATATATATAAAATAATGTATTATATTACATTATTGCCTCTGCATTGGATTATTATCGGATTGGGTAATAACTTCATAATTAACTACGTCTGAAGGCAAAAGTCTAGGGCAAATAATTGCAAGTCTCTTCAGTGCACATGTCACAAAATGAGATGCATTGTGGGACATGTAGTTTATTGGCAACATGCTTCTGTAAAGCGGCATGTAACCGTATGATAAACGTATTATATTATTTGCAAGCTCTTGCAGGGCCACATAAAATGAAGTCGCGGGCCGGATTTGGCCCCCGGGCCTTGAGTTTGACACCCCTGATCTAGAGACACCATGAAGTTAATATTTTTTGACCTTCGGGAAATATCTTATCAATTGTGAAATGGATAGCAACAAAATTGGATACAGACCATCATGGTGCCTGGAGGATTACCCTTTTTGGGTTTGGTGATCCTCTGTTCTCACATATCCTTTGAAATATCTCAACATCTACTTGATGGCTCACCCAAGGTTTTTCCAGACATTCATGGTCCCCAGAAGATGAATGCCACTTTGTGGGAAAAATTGTACTTTGTCTTAAAATGTAGCACATAATAATTTCCCCTTGGAGATAATTAGTCATTAATAAGTACATCAAACGCAATCACATAGGGTCAGAAAATCGCCAAATCAACATCAGCATTGTTTTCCCTCGTCGTTATCCCTCTGGACTTTTCTCCATTTCCTAAATGTTTTTCCTCCCACAGACTCATCTAGTGTTATTTATCTGTCTGGCATTTGTCTATTGATTGATCTCTGTAGCATTTTCATCAAGTCATTAGCTTGCTCCTGCATTTGTTTAATTGTTTTTTTCTCCCTCCATTGCCTCTTAGTATGGCCCTTGGTGAGTATTGCTTCCGTATCTTCAAGTAATGAAGAATAAGGCCAGCACAGTGCTAATGTCTACTGTCCAACTTATTCATCCTTCTCTTTCCCCCACAGTTAACCCTTGCTGACTAAAGGGGGTATTATAGGCGACCCCTATTTAATTATCTTTATTTATTTAGGTTTTAGTCAATTAACTGATTCTTGAGCAGCTTGAGAGTTTCAGGTCAGACTAGTTGTGAAATATTGATGGAAGAACATCTTTTAATGTACAACCTTTGAATGAAAAGAAGACAAAATATTTATTCTAAAATGCCTTGGATTCTAAATAAATAAATACAATTTGTTTTGATGAGTCTTCATTGTTTTGAAGTGTCTAAGCTTGGTTTTATTGGGATCTCTTTTAATAGTTGTCTGGCATAATGTGGAGTAAAGCACAACTTAAGGCATATAGACAAAGTTATCTCTTGGGGCAAAAATAAACTAAGTCCCAGAGTAATGAGTGTAAAGCTCATGCAGAGAAAACAACAAGGAGATATTAAAAACCGTAAAAGCTAGAGAAAGGATCTGCAATTTAGTACCTAAATAATAAATATTCCACCTTGATGAATCACAATTTCCTCCCATTCATATTCTCTGAAGATTGATTACAAGAGTATGATTGTATACCTCTGCTTCTACATTAAACTGAGGGGTTTGTGTCCATGTAATATTCAAGTCTGCTAAGAAGCTTTGGATTTTTCATCCTTCGCATGCTCAGTTCGGGACTGCGTACCATAACGTCCCCTGTGACCTGGGCTGATGTAGAGCAAACATACACCGGATGGACCCCTTCATCATCCTGTCAGCTGGTCCTTTGAGGAACGGGATGCAACCGCCTGAACCTCCGATGTCTTCTCTCGGCAGACTGGGTAAAGTTTGATAAGTGACTCTTGGCCCTGCCACAGTAAATCCTGCCATACATGACAGGCGATGTAATTCTTACTACAAGTGTGGCGATGTAATTCTTACTACAAGTGTCTGTCCTGTCCACTTAAAATGGGATTGCTGTTTAAGACACATGTTGTTGCTACAACCATTAGAATTATGTGCACATTGCAGCCAATGTGGTTGAATTGTTCCAGCAGTTTGCTGGCAGACTATGTGGATACGGTATGTGTCCCTGGTGTGTCGGGGAACTCACGCAGCGTCAGAAAATAAAACCCTCTCTCTTTTCCTCCGTACCCAAATCTCAAATAGATTGGCTTTACACCGATGGCCCTATCAGAAACGTTGCTATCAGAAACAATGCCCGACTGTTTTGGACGTAATATGGTCGGTGTTTACATTGGCATCGCTAACACTCAGAGCTAACCTGTACTGGAGAGCATGTGTGTGAAGAAACAGGAAATAAAAAGGAACTCACCTTGTGGTATAACCGGCAATTGAGAAAGCCTTTGAGCTCCATACTGTTTCAGAAATAATCCTTGATAATCCATGATATGGCGTTTCATCACCGCAGTATTTAGTTTAGACAGTAGTTGCCGGGTCCCGCATGAGCTCAGCCCCCTCCTTTTTTTTTATCAATCTTTTTTTTTTTACAGCTTTATACCCCAAATCAGCACTTATGAAACAGGAAGTGAAATAGAGGGATATGAGGCATGGCTAGAGTGGGTGATCTGTTTGGCATTTTCAGCAAAACACTTCATAGACATGTTTTTTATATATTTGTATATATCTGAGACCTATGCTATTGCCTAATAATAGCATGGTAGGTGCACTTTAATGCTATGTGACTTAGCTTTCTGATGTTTTTGTATCTTTGCCTGCCTAGTGTTCAA